CATTTCTGCCTCTGAAATTGCACGTTTTGTTTTTTGAAATGTCTTTCTGTCCCTTACACTGGATGTCAGTGTGTCTCTTTGCCTTACTGTGTTTCAGACTGAGGAAGCTGCAGCTGTGCTGAGATCACCAGCTCTGTTCTCAGGACTGGTGATGGGGCATGTGCAGACACAGGGCTGGAAGCACAAGAAGCCACATGTGTCAGCTGCCTGATGGTTAATATTTGGCGTTGTTCTCTTATTGACTCACCTCGCTCTCTGCCAGAATTTATAGTCTTGCTGTGTATCCTGACTTGGAATGGAAAAAGGAAAGAGGAGATGTTTCTAACAGCATCCTTTTCTTTACGACCTTGACGTGTGGTATGGTCAGCAGAGGGCAGCAGCACACTGTCAGCACTGCATATTGTATTTCCAGTGCTGCGGCTCAGCCTTTATCTCCAAATCCTCTTTTTTTTTTTTTCATGCAGAGGTACATCAGTTAAAGTCTCCCAGGGTAGAGCAATGGTGGATCAACACAAGTATTCTCTGAAAGGGTAGGCCATAGCTTGCAGCTCGGGAGAAGGGATAATCAATTTTTGTACCACAGAGAGCTACAGTCTTGGAAATGCCAGCACACCCAACACCTTTGCCTGCTGGGTGGAGGACAAAAGCCATTCAACGTGGTTGGGATAGAAGGGGTCTCAAAGCCCCCAGACTGCCCCTGCCACGGACTGGTTGCCCCTCCAGCTCAAGCTGCCCAGGGCCCATGCATGGCCTTGGGCACCACCAGGGATGGGGTACCCACAGCTCTTTGGGCCGCGGTGCCAGGGCCTCACTGCCCTCTGAGTAAAGATTTTCCTCTACACATCCAACCTGAATTTCCCCTCTTCTAGTTTAAAACTTGTCCTATCATTGTCAGACTGCATAAAAAATCAGTCTCCCAGGATTCACCTGTTTTCATCCACCTGTTGGTCACTGGATAAGCACAAGACAACTCTGTTCTGCACAGCTTACAATGGACAGAAACAAATCAGGTTGCAGACAGGCAGAGATGCCCACTGTAATTTGCAATGCTTGTGGAGGAATTCATAGAAGATCACAGAGCAGGAGCAGTCATAACTAATGCTGGAAGTCAAATGAAGTACAGAAAACTTCTTCTGTAGGCAAAATAGGCTGAAGGTGTTTGTGAGGCTTTACTGACATAAGGCCCTTCATAAGGCCCTTAAAAGCAAAACGTGCAAAAATTAACACAGCTCTAGTATTCTTTACAGTTTTGCTATACAGGTGCCAACTACCATTGCTCTCGCATGGTTTCCTTAAATACTATTGCAAGTTCTGAAGTAAAGGTCAAGACTCAATGGCCCAGAGAGGGCTGTTTGTAGACCTTACACTGAATCTGACCACACACGAATGAAATTTTGGGAGTCAGGTTCTTCTATCTGGAGTCAAACCATAAACATAGTAATGTCACATTTCTTACTCAAAGAATCTTTCTTGTCTAAATTACTGTCTCAGCCCTTATACAAATAAAAGAAAAATTGCAAGCATGCACTTGTGAAGTATTTATTATAGAGACAAACAGTTCCGATTCGCTGGTTACACTGCATGCTCTGTTTATGTTCTTTTTTTCCCTTCGGGTCCCTGAAAGTAGATGAGAACTTCTAGCTCCAATTTAATTTGACTTCCTGTTTTATAAAGCTGACAAGCAGACACTCAGTCTCTCGCAGCTACAGCATAAATTATAGTCATCATATTTACAGACATATGATTTTTTGTAGACTTAGCAAATGCTTTAAGACTGCGTCATTTGCTTCTGCTCGCTGGAAGAGAGAAGAATGCTCTTTTTGAATCAGCTGCTTAAATATATTTAAGCTAACCTCTGCAGTGTGGCTGCAGTCATCCTCTGCTCACAAGTTCAGGCTTCAGGAACACTTTTTACTGCCCCTTCACTTCCTAGCAAGCAAACATACATAAAGGGGGAAATATTGCTGGATTATAAAGTATTTAAGGTGAAAGTAAATAAAATAAAAATTTGTACCAGGCCAAAACTATACAGCCCAGTATCTTGGCTTGGACAGTGACCAGAAAGTACTGGTTTCTCAGGGAAGGATGAAACCTTTATATTGAAATGCATTTTGATTCTTCCAAATGTTTTCTCCCGTGAGTTCATTTCTGAATTCATATATATTTCCCATGGCATTTTGAAGAAAACAGCTGCAAAGCACAGTGGTGTTGCCTGCAACTCTCCAAGTTAGTTTGTTGTCATAATGCTGGTATGGAGAAGACTGCTATTTGCCTTTTGTGGTCCCACGATCTGGCAGCTCACTGCCATATTTCTCCTTGCCTGCCCAGTCATTTGCTTTTCAAAGCATTTTTCATCCAGTGGCATCTTCCCATCCAGCCTTCTCTTCCTTGAATTCCAATTATTCCCCAAATTACTTCAGCTGCCACCTCTCCCTCTCCAGTCCTTCACCCTTACCCTCTGAACACTGCTTTGTTATCACACATCTGCTGTTCTTGAAGAATTCAATCACATTAATTGCCTCCACAAATTCACTCTCTTCATTTCCAGCACTTCAATCTTATCTGCTGCTTTTCTTGCTCTCACTGTAGCCCTGCCAGGTCTGTATCCCCACCCGCGCCTCATGCAAAGCTGCAGGAGCAGCCTCAGTATGCACTCCTGGATGCCCTGACTGCAGGGATTTCTACATTTAATATATCCCAAAGTCCCCTTTAGCGCATTCCAGAAGAGTAACAAGGGATTAAAAAGCCAAGAGCACTTCAGGGCTGCAGGGAGAACTTCTCAGCTGCTTCGGGCAGATGAGTGGTGCTGCAAGGCAGCAACAAAAGCTGCTGGGGTGGGAGCCCTCTAAATCTTCCCCCTGGCAAGATCCATGCAGGTTTTGCTGGAGTGGTGTGCGATGCAGAGGAGCTGCCTGCCGATGTGATAATTCAGGATAGGTCAGCTGTTGAGAACCCTCCGGGGTAGTTCTGTAGGTGCGGAGCCCTAGGAAACACAGCAGCTCTGTGACCCTGCTGGTGCAGGTGATGGGAGGTTGGGTAGGAGTGGAAGATAGCGTTCTATAAACTTCATATATGGAGGCTGACATCTGGCACGTGACTTTTTGGGTTGTAGAAGAGTGGGAGGTAGAAAGCAACATCTTCTGCTGTGCAAATCTCAAAGCAATTACAGTGCAATTTATTGTATTGATCAAGAAGAAAATCAAGGCAGTTACTCTTTGTGACCTCATCTATAGTGAAGCTTTGAATGACACTCAAATGTGTGAAAATGAGGGAAAACTTTTTAGGCTGCAAGTGAGAATGCAATCCCAAAGCGCTATACAGGCAGACCTAAGAACCAGCCCTGAGGCACAGAGGAGAGGGAGGAGCAACTGGATGTGAGAAGTGAAAGGGAAGAAAGAAGCCAGAATTGCTCTTGCATCCTATTTCATCTCTGCCACTGATACGGTCCATGGTGCCTGTGGTTAGGGCCTGATGAAGTTGGACTGCAGAATCCCTGCAAGTCATCTCTCATCTTCAGCATTAATAAGGTTCTCCAGGCAGGGAAATAATCTTGCTGTGAGGAACAGAACATTGTAAAATCAAACATGAGTTTAAAAGTGTTGTTGTGTAGACAGAAATCTCAGAGAGACTCAGCTATGCAAGAGGAAGAGGGCACTCCTGGAGGGATGGTGAGAAGCCCAAGACCGTTGCTGTTGTCTGCAGATTCTGCTGGGCATAAAATCAGTGCTGCCTCCAGAGAAGGTAAAGAAAACTGAATGGGGTAAAAGAGAATTTTAGAATCGCAGAATGCCTTGGGTTGAGGGGACCACAAGGATATCAAGTTCCATCCCCCCTGCTGCAGGGGAGGCCACCAACCTCCAGATGTGGTACCAGACCAGGGCCCCATCCAACCTGGCCTTGAACACTTTCAGGGGCAGAGCATTCACAGTCTTTCTGGGCAGCCTGTTCCAGCACCTCAACACTCTACCTGTGAAGAACTTCCCATTGACATCCAACCTAAACCTTCCCTTCTTGAGCTTAATACCATTTCCCCTTGTCCTATCACTGCCTACCCTTGTAAAAAAGTTGATTCCCCTCCTGTTACAATGCCCTTTTAAATGCTGAAAGGAATTTATTTGTGATGGGAGAAAATGACCATTGAATGTGATGCACATGATACAAGAAGAAGCTGAGTTGACAGACATGGCCTGATGGTGTGGCAGCTCCCACTTAATTTCCTGAAGATAATTGCAATGACATGGCTTACAACAGTTGCATCTCGCAGTTGTTCTGTGTGACTTCGGGACTGACTATGAATGTACTCCAAACCAACTTGCTCAGCACAGCATAGGATTTGTGAAGACTTGAAATGGAAACAAAAACACTCTATAGTAAAAAGGTATTTTACTGAGATACAATAAATTTCTTAAGCAGTTTACATTTTTTATCACCTCCATAAGATGCATTCTAAACTGCTGAAGGCTTTTTAATAGCATAAACAAAATCTCTGGAAGAAGTCAATCTTTAAATTTAAGAGACATCAGCAGATATGTAGTGCTGGGTGCCTGTAAACCATTGCATTAAAATGATATAAGCAAAACAGACATTCTAGAAAAAAAGCCTTTAAAAAATGAGAATATATTTTCATATTGATCAAATATTTACTTTTTAATAATATGTTATCTACATATACTAAATAAACTAAATTTTTAACTTTGATAAAACTATAAAAGAAATACTTTTTTGAAAACTACCAGAAATTTGATGGTTCAAATGTGTTCTTGATCTGGCACTCATCAATGAACTTATCTGACCTCTGCACAAAAGCAGTATGTCACAGCAGGTGACATTGGTAAGTTTTATAACCTACACAAAATGAATCTGCTCAAACAACAGATTGAAGATACAGGCAACTTCTCTCCAAAAAGTGCCATCACCTTTAGGTGTCAGCAGAGGTCTGGGGACAGAGCAGCACTGTGGGGAGAAGCAAGGGCAGGGAAGGCCATCTGCAGTGTTGGCACCCGGTAGGGAGAAGGAAAGATGGAAGAGCAGAGCCCAGGGGCAGATCTGAACTTTGCTTAGGGGACATCTGCTGTGTTTTATTACATCTGCAAACATTCAGAGTGTTTGCCAGCAAAGTACAGCAGATAATCATAACAAATGCTATGTTTCTGTAACTTGCTGCTGGCTCAGTGTATGTGCCTGAAGCATAGATTTATATTATAGATAAATATTATTTGCTAATCTTTATTTTGCCTTTTTCTTTCTCCTTTCAGTATGCCAGATGGCTTGTGTTGGCAAGTTTGCAGGCTGGCTCATCAGATAGATATTAACAAACTTGAATTCCTCAGGTCCCCAGGTGAGCTGTGTATGACTGTGAAAATTTCAACATTACTCTTTTTAAATGCTAGTGGATAAATTTCAGAATTATCTTTCCATGCAGACACAATCACATATACACTATCCATGCTGGGTACCTCAGGGAAGGTGGAAGCAGCATTTCCCACTGATCTTTTTTGTTATTTAGGTCAGTCATAATGCATGTCTTCAGAACAGGTAGGGTAATGTAACGTGCAGATGAATCAGAATGTTTGTGGTTTGTGCCAAAAAATAGTGAAAACTAAAATGAACACTTCTGTCAAAATTTTTCATTTGGTCATTTAAAAAAGAACAAGTACTTTTTGATCTGTCACTTCATATAGGCATTTCCAGCACTAAGCCACAAGGGAAGAAGCTTAAGCATCCAAGCCAAAATTTGCTTCATCCCAAGCCTTTTTGTATATTGTGTTGCTTAAATAAAATGCATTTGGGTTAACCTGAAGCTAGATGTTTTTTTGTTTTGTTTTGGTTTGGGTTTTTTTGTTTGTTTTTTGAGTTGAAGGATTATTTCAATCTGCAGAGAAAAATTTCCAAATCATGCAGCTATAAAAGAGAAAACCAAACAACAAACAACTTTGTTGTGTGAATAGGACATGTATGGATGAAGCTGATGGGGGAGAAATTGACCAGTCTGTTGATTTCCAGCATACATCCTGCTCCCCTGTGTACATCCCTTTCAGCATGTTATTATCTCTGTTGGCCAACCCAAAGGATTTTTTGATACACCTGTTCCTCCCCAGCCACATGTTAGGAACAGTCAAATTTTTCACAGGTAGTTGAGGTGGGACAGCTGAGGCTGGTAGGAAGTAGGACTGCTTTCTCTCTGTATTGCACATCACAGAGATCTGTGCAGCCTGGAGATGAAAGAAGAAGATCATCTTTTGAAGTACTGTGGCTGTTGGAAGGTGCTGTCCTGGTGGACTTCTTTCTAGATCTCACTTTCTTCAAAGACCACCTCCTCAGTTGTCTCTCCAGTGGTCACTTCTCCTTCGCTGCTGTCTGACACACTTGCCCGCAGACGAGGTGGAAGTGCACAGCCTTGCTCTGTGCATGGAACTGCCCTCTGCTTTGTCAGCAACTGCTGGAGCTTCATGCCCCAGGGCTCACTCACCAGGCACAAGTGGTTGCTGCTGAGGTGCTCTTTTTTCTCTTTCTGTGAACATCTCCTGAGGTATTTGATGTTTTGCCCAAGAAAGCAGAGTTTGCGACCAAAGGGTTCTGCCAGCAGGAAGCGGGACCACTGCTTGTGGAGTTCTGCTTTTACCTGAGGGGAGGAGAAAACAGGTGATGTCTTACGCCAGCCCAGCAGTGCACTCATCCAAACACTGGCAATTAAAGAAGAGGGACTGCAGAAGTGCTGAGTGTCTTGTGCCTTTGGAGTCACCTTGCAGCTGTGATGGTCCTTGTAGTGCAGAAATGGGCTTGTTTGCTAAGGGAGCCTTCACGCTCCCACCCTCTTCACTCAAACTCAGGAAAGTTTTTCCAGTGCCTGAATCCCTCTCTGTAATTTGATGTATTATGACCCTGATCTGTATGAGGGGAGAGCTCAAGTCCCTTCCATGTTTACAGCCTGATGAAGTGAAGGAAAACCCCAAGGGCTGTGGAAATGATGACTGTGTGGCTTTTCCACAGTGTTGTGCTCAGAGATCAGGTTTGTTTTGCTGATTTTTTTTTTTAATTTGGCAGCCTGCCTTAAGTCCCCAACACTCAATGTCCTGTTTTTCCCTGCCCCGACCCCAGCTCTGCTCTGCAGATGGAAATCAGACCTCAGAGCCCACGCAGAAGAGCAGCCCCCGCTTCAACTGTCAAAACGTTTGGCCTGAGAGCTCAGCTCAGCTGGGATCTAAAAGCCCCCAAAAGCAACTTTTAACTGCTGATGAGTGTTGCTAGTAGTTCTGTGCCCCTCATAAATGTTGGACAAGTTCTCCTGTGCTGTAGATGAGCACCAGGTCTTTGACAGTAATTTGGAAGTTGATCTAGGTTTCTTGGTTAAATATTAGGATTGCATGCCCTACATTTTCTATACAGCTTATATCATTTTTTTTTTTTTTTTTTTTGCCTTTAAAAAGGTGTTCAGAATCATGTACAAGTGTCAGTATACCACAGTATACACAATACAAGTGCAGTGTATACCACATCAGCTGCTCCCAGGCTGACTATAAGGGAGGTATAAACAGAAAGCTTAAATTTAGAAAATATTTAAAATTGTGACATGAATTCCTAAGCCTACACAAGCCTCATTTCCAGAGGCAGCCTGTAATGATCTGGTGTGGCCATGCCAAGACTGCGTGCAGCTGTGGCAGCGATGAAGGCCTCCAGTATCGGGCTGCAGAGCAGAACGCGGAGATTAAGTGGTTATACTCCTTTACTCAGTGTCAACACTGTATCTGATATTGGGGCCCTCGATGTAACAAATATGGTGATAAGCTTGGACTTTTCAGTAGGGAACAGTGTTGGAGCATTTGCACTTTGAGGAGAGGCTGCATGAGTAGTGCTTGTTCATTCTGCAGAGGAGAAAGGCTTCAGTGGAGTTCTGAATGTAGCCTATGAGGAGACTGTGGGGGATTTGGAGGTAGGTACTCTACGAGGTGTTTTTTGACATGGGAGATAGTTGTCCTAAATTGAAACAGGAGAAGTTCTTCCTGGAGCTCTGGAAAAGATGGTTCCTTCTGATAGCCGGGAAGCACTAGAGCAGAGGACAGGAGAGGTGGCAGAACCACCACACTTGATGGTTTTCAAAGCCCTGCTGGACAAAGCCATGACCTGCCTTCTCTGAATTCCATCTCCACAATGCACTGAACAAGAGATTGGACTGGGGTTCTCCCGAGGTCCCTTGTGAGTTTTCTGTGATTTCTCTGCTGGCACCTCCTTGCACAACCATTAATGATCTGTCTCAGTTCTGGCATGGAGCAAACAAAACCCTCAAACTGACCCTTGAGGCTTAGTGGAAAACAACCTCCAGTCAAGAATTGCCTTCACCTCAAATTTAGAGATGTTCTTTGCAGTGCACACATGAAACTGATTTTTCAGCTTGTTGCTTTTTACCATGTAAGCATGCCAGATTTTGCAGCTTTACCTAGACTGCAGGGGAAAGTAAAGCAAGAGTTCAGCCTAGCCAAGGATATAAACTGGGATTTCATCTGTGTAAAGGAGTGGAGTTCAGAGGGCTGACCATAAGCATTCAGTGATGTTTCACGTCATAGAGTATCTATATGTCCACAGTGCCATATATTAACACAAGCTTAACTGAAAGTACTTTGCATTTGAATCCATTTGAATATGAGAAGTCTTGCTTTCTTTATACAAAACAATTACATAAGCTTTAAAAGGTGTAAGTATGCTCTCCAATAACCAGAGCTAGTCAGTGTTTTCATTCTTCTTGGTGTCAATATGTTTAATTAATTAACCAAAAACTTATATCGCCATCTCTTACCTCTCCATTTGCAAAGCAATATAAAACTGCTACAAAAAAACCCTGTAGGAGACAAACAGTAAGAAGGAAAAGTTAATTATCTGAAGGTTTAGTGTAGAGTTGGCACTAGTATTAAAGCCATAGAAACACGCAGTGCTATCTAATTTTCAGAATGCAAACTAGTTATCCGTCATAATTTATCACTGCTATCAAGTACTCATCAATTTATTTTTGTGTGATGCCTTAGCAAATGTAGAGCACATTTGTAGATGTTTTGATGCAGATGCTGAAGAATGGAGGCTCTGCAACCCTATCTGATCTTATATTTAATCTGTATTTTACTACCATAGAGTTCTTTTTTTCAGACTATTACTGTTTAATTACTGTTATAGTTACAGTAATTTAGTTTAATAGTTTAATATATAATATTAAATATAAATAAATTAATATAGTTTAATTACTGTTACTGTTATAGTGATAGACTATTACTAGTCTAATTCCTGTTCCTAGACATGGTGAAACAAACTGAAATGCATGTCAGAACTCAATATTTAATATGTAATACAGTTGATATCATTCTTTTTCACATTGAAACTTTTTTTCTCCCCAGAAATATTTCTGTTTTTCTCAGATTTACAATGAAATTCACAGCAGTTTTAATATTTTTATTATGCCTACCATTAACTAATATCAGTTTGAACCTACAGGGTTCTAACAATCCTCTAACCCTCTCTGTCATGCCAGTGGGTGCAAGGACAGGAGAAAAACCAATTGCAATTGCTTTCTGTGAATATTTTAATTCTACCATCTTTCATGCTCCTTCTGGATAGTGGTTGCAAGATCTGTGTGCTTCTGACATATCCTTTGTCAGTGTAACTTTCAAATGATTCTCTGCATCTGAATTATCTCACAGCATTATGAAAAAATAAATCTGAATATTGAGAGACTTTATGTTGATTAAATACAAGTTGGCTTAAAAAAGCAGTTTTTATGCAGAACTACACATGGAAAAAGAGCTTTTTTTGCAGAACTTCTTCATCTGAAGATTGTTCTCTCATTGGATAGAAATGCCACATGTCTCTAATCTCTTACACCATGGAAACTGACAAGCAGAAATAGGGGCCGTACGCTTGGTGCTGCTAAGAGATGGCCAGAAGTCACCAGAACAGGAGAAGGCTTTGTGAGTGCTGGTGGCATCTCTGTGCTGAATGGAGGTTTATCAACCCCCATGTGAATTAGAGCACCGAATGATGCACAGAAACACTGTAAAATGACATCAGAAGGTGGCATGGTTATTTGTATTTGCTGTTTGTTTTATATTCTGATTTCTATAATGCTTCTGTTGTGCTTTTTGAAAATGTTTGAGTGAAAGACTCCAGGGAAGATCCCAGAGGTGGCTCTTTTCCTTTAATGAAACAGTTTAACTGAGCTTTAAAAGTACTGAGGAGATTTACAGACTAAACAAATGTAATTGGGTACAGTTTATGTGCTTTTTTCACTAATCCCTTAAAAAATAATGTTGTGGCTAAAAAAGAGAATCTACAATAAACATCACCCAAGATTTCTGGGTATTCTGAAAAGAAGTTTTGCTTCTAAAGCTTGTCATACAGCAGAGCACGTGCACCTTCCTGTAAATAGAAGAAAGTTTGTGCTTTTTGGCAGGGTTGAGTAAGCTGTCCTCTGTATCATGCTTCCATGTCCAAGCCACTAAATAAAAAATTCATTTAAAATGATTATGTTGCTTAAAATAACATCTAGACCCTGCAGCCTCTCCAAGTAAGGATATGTCTAACATACACTTCAACACCATATCGAACAGTCCTCTTAGGGTGATGGTTCCACATGAATTGCCTTCTGCCCGCCTGGACATTTTTCTGCTCAATTGGAAATTTTTCATTAGAGGATCAAATTGCAGTCAAAGCACTGATGCATACACCAAGGCACTGGAGCATACATACAGATTGAAAACTGAGATTACAATAAATTCTAGTGCTTTGATGCCTTCGTATTTCAGGCTACCAAAGACGGCAAAAGGGCTGAGTTAGTGAGCAAGAAGGACTTCTGGCCCAAAGAATTCCTGGGCACCTCATTAAAGACAGAAGATCTGGATGCTGAGGTGTGGTATCACTGAGATTATTAAGGCTGAAAGGCAAGGCAGGGCAAGAGTGTTGAATGAATCATGGAATGGTTGTAAAGGTTCTCTTAGCCCCCTAGGCTCTCCTGCCATGGGCTGGCTGCCCCCCCCCAGCTCAGGCTAGCAGCAGTGCTGTGGCCTCTCTGCCTCTAGGTAAAGAATTTCGTCTTCATATCTAACCTACATTTCCCTTCTTTTAGTTTAAAACCATTCCTCCTTGTCCCATCACTATCAGACCATGTAAAAAGTCTTTCTCCTTCCTAACAGCTCGCCTGAAGTTCTGGAATGCCACAGTGAAGTCTCCGTGGAGCCTTCTCCATGCTGAATACCCCCAGTTCCTCAAACTACCTGGAAAGGTAGTTAAATGGGAGTGCTACATGTAAAAAATCAATACTCAGCAACTTTGTATAACATGGATTGATGCATACAGCAGTGCAGTGACTGGTATGTCCATAGCCTTTCTAAACTGCAGGATAAAGTTATCATGAAACACGAGTGTAGTTATGCATAAGTGATGGTGAGAGTGGTGAGATTCACTATTCATTTTCAGTAATGGCTAGCTGTGGAATTTGGACTATTTAGCATTAACTGCTATAATGGAGCATGCTTCCTTTACACATACAATTTCCTCTACACATGTACGATTACCCAAAATGGAGTGAAACTGTTCCTTGTATCTGCAGGTATTGTGCCCATTTTCTCTTATTTTTCTTTTTTTTTTTTTCTTTTCTTGTTATGTGATATGACATAATCATTGTGGTGTATTTGACGTATGCTGAATATACAAAATTTGCTGAAGAACATGAACCCAGGCCCAACCTGCTTCTCCTGACTACAAAATCAAGAGGTCACTTTAAAATTGTAATAAAATTCTGCCCAGTGTTTTTAAAGAATTAATTTACATGAAACACTACTTAAAATAGGCTGGTTTTATTCTGTTTTCAGGTCAGAGATCTGTCACTTACTATCAGAGAACACAGGATATGCTCTGTCTGATAACATCAGACTCCTTTTTTTGGACTTTGGGGTCACCATGTTTTGAACACTCTGTATATTTTTTATCATCTCTACTGTATATTTACAGACATTACAGGCCACAGTAAACTATTTTAAAAGGTTTCTATATGCCTGTGGAATCTACACATAAACAACATACGTAGGTAGTGGGTATGTGACCCCTAAAAAATACTTGCAGAACAGTACTTACATGAAATGAACTCATTGTCAGCTGAATGAAAAGTCTTACATGTCTTGGAAATCCTTCCACCTGTTCATCAGTGATGAAGGAAAATATAAACTCATGGATCCCCAGCAATGGAATCAGCGCAAGTGTAGATCTTGCCAGTCTTAAAAAGAAAATATTTAATTACGGTATTTCTCAACATCCTTAGTGCAAAAAGTGGATCTACATAGAAATGATTCCAGAAATGATTGCCCAGCTAACTAGGGGGCTCTCAGTTAGCTAGATATTGACAAATGTGATGTTGATCTGTAAGAAGGGAGGAAGGAGATCTGGGGGATTAACACACCTGTCAGTCTGACATCCGTGCAGGGAAAGTCATGCAGCAGAGCATCTTGGGTGAAATCATAAAGCATGTGCAGGACAACAAGTGATCAGACACAGTCAGCATGTGTTTATGAAAGGCAGGTCCTTCTTGACTAGCCTGATTTTCTATAAAAAGATGACCTGTGTAGTGCATGAGGGAAAAGCTGTAGATATTGTTTACTTGGACTTTTGCGAGGCATTTGATATTGTATCCCACACCTTTCTCCTGGAAGAACTGACTGCTCATAGTTTGAATGGATGGCTAGCCCAGCTAGAAGACTGGGCACAAAGGGTCACTGTGAATAGAGTTAAATGTGGCTGGCAATCAGTCACAAGTGGTGTTCCTCAGAGCTCAGTACTGTGGCCATTTTTACTGAACATTTTAATCAATGATCTTGATGGACGGGGTGCAAGCTCAGTAATTTTGCACAGTGCCTGTGTCAGTGAAAAACAGGTAGGTGCTGGTGACCAAGGAAACTAGGAACATTTCACAGATATTCTGAACATTTCTTTTTTTGAGGGCCCTTTGTCACAATCACAGAAAACAGAAGTTACAGCAGTCAAGGCTATTTTATATGCATTCTGGACACCCATACTGCATTTTAAACTCTTTGAGGAGGTTAACACACTGATAATGACCTATCTTTATCACTCAGGTAAGAAATTATTTGCGGAGTCTGTTTTCCCAGCTGGCTTCTGTATATCTTATTCTGAATATATTTTACATTGGCAGTAGTGGGTAGGTAAGTGTGTAATCTGCAAGGGAACTGATGTTCTGATGGGAACATTCCAATGCTGTGAAAATAAAAAGGACTAGGATTTCTTGTTATGTATTACATACCTGTATTTGTAGTCATGAAAGCTCATTTGCTGGGCTTTTAGTTTGGAAATCAACATCCTCAAAATTTTTAAGAAGATGCCAAAATTAACCTTGAAAGAAAATACATATTGATTATTTATTAGTTCAGATTCCCTCTGGATCTGAAGTTCGGGACTTCATCAGTTGTGATCCCTCCCTTAGTTTTGGGGCAGTTCTGTTCTCTTTCAGCTTTTTCCTTACACCTTTCAAGTCTCTTCTCTTTATTTATACAGACTGGGGGAAGATGTGGTTGAGAGCAGCCCTGCGCAGAAGGACTTGGGGTCCTGGTGGGTGAGAAGCTGGCCATGAGGCAGCAGTGAGCGCCTGCAGCCCAGAAGGCCAGCTGTGTTGTGGGCTGCATGAAAAAGGGGCGGCCAGCAGGAGAGGGAGCTGATCGTCCCCCTCTGCTGGGCTCCTGTGAGGCCCCATCTGCAGCGCTGCGTCCAGGCCTGGGGCCCCCAGCACAGGAAGGACGTGGAGCTCTGGCAGCGGGTCCAGAGGAGGCACTGAGATGAGCAGAGGGCTGGAGCAGCTCTGTGTGAGGCAAGGCTGAGGGAACTGGGCCTGTTGAGCTTGGGGAAGAGAAGGCTGCGGGGAGACCTCACTGTGGCCTTCCAGTGCTTGAAGGGAGGGTAGAAACAGGAGGGGAATGGTGATAGCATAAGGGGGAATGGATTTAAACTGAGACAGGGGAGGTTTAGGTTGGATATGAGGAGGAAGTTTCTGAGCCAGAGGGTGGTGAGGCACTGGAACAGGTTGCCCAAGGAGGCTGTGGATGCCCCATCCCTGCAGGCATTCGAGGCCAGGCTGGATGTGGCTCTGGGCAGCCTGGGCTGCTGGTGGGTGACCTGCACACAGCAGGGGGTTGAAACTGATGAGCATTGTGGTCATTTTCAACCCAGGCCATTCTATGATTCTATGATTCTTTGAAGATTCTATGATATGATTCTTTTCTGGCTCTTCTCTCCACTGCCTTTTGAGAGACAGAGAAAGCTCTGTTGCCCATCAAATGTTTTACTTCTTGATGACTGCTTATTAAGCACTCAGCTTCACAGTCCCAGCTATGTCCCCTTTCTCTCTCATGCTTCTCTCCAGCTCAGTAGAAGCAAAACAGTCCACTGCTTCTTCTCTAAGGTCATAATTGCTACATCTCTACTACAGCATGACAGAAAATTATACCCTTCTTTCCACACACATCAGTTCCTCAGTATCACAGTCTGACCAGTCCTAGCATAAGTAAAGTGGATTTCTTCTCTACAATATTTGCTAGACAAATTAGCAGGATGCTGATGAAATCATCTATTTCTCTAATCTTTTCTACGCCTTGTCGACTCTGTGAAAATGTAAGTTGTTCTGGGGACTTACCTAACCCTCACCCATCAGAATTCTGTGTTTGTAACCATATCCTCAGGAACTGTTCTGATCATGCTATCTTCATTACCACCGGATTTCGGGTTTAAACTTCTTTTTGAAAACATATTTTAGTCTTGTTATGCCTTACTACATTTTTTTACATTATTCTGGTGCTTGTTTAGACTAATGCTTTCTTCCTATGACCATCAATATTTTTTGTTGCTATTTCTTTGTATCCTTGCTATTGCACAACATACTCTGTAGTTGCTCACCACGTGGTAGTACTGTCCTAAGTAATCTATTCACTGAATAAAGCATTGTAAAAATACAAGAAGCAGGTACTAGAAGGCACTGTGTTAGTTTGTGCAGAGCACTGCAGAAGTCACTGCACAGATACATAGTTGAGAGCTGACACTGAAAATTTTCTTGCTTACAGATTTATAATGTGAAGCTGTGTGCACTGACAGTGAGTAAGAAAACTCATTTACAATCATTTCTGCCTCATCTCCTCTAATACAACAATTAGATTACATTTATAGGAAGGATTATGATAGACATAGTTGTGTATGCTATGTAGGATTCTCTGAAAGTAATGCTTCCTATTTATTTCCATGGAAATTACAACAGATATAAAGAGCACTGTAATGCCATTTGATTGTGCAAATTTGCAGCTATAGAACACTTTTTCATGCATCATGGGCCAACATGATAAAATAAGAGATGTTACTTTTGATGCAGCCATCATGCGAGGAACAGATAAAATAGTTCTTACTGTAATGGAAAACAACATCGGTCCTCGAATGATCCACCAGATTCCCATGTGTTCATTTGTTCCCCAGCACCTGCAGCATAATTAAAAAAATATATATATTATTTTCATGGAAACAAATAAGAAAGCTTAAATAACGTATGTACGTATTTCAAAGGAAACTTGACTAAATTTAAACATCTAAGTGGTATTCAAGAGAAATTGAATTAAACTGTGAATAGTATAACAAACAACTGTACATTTTGTGAAGATCTTCCTGCTAGAATTTTGAGAGACGTTTCCGTAGGCTGTAAAGCTCAAAACAATCTGGTGAATTCTGCCTTTGGATCTACACTACAACTGCAAGTGGCACTGAAACTTGACAGTGGGACACATCTTACCCAAATTTAGTCATCTAAAATCATGAACTGGAAAAGGGTAAATCTGAATTGTAACTTCTGAACTAACTAAGAAGTATGCATACAGACTGTGAATGGAACAGAATAGTTCAGTTGGAAAGGGCTTTCAGAGATCAAATCCAACTGCTTAATCGCTTCTGGGCTATGCAAAAGTTAAAGTATCTTACTGAGTGCATTATCCAAATGCATTGATAGGCATGGGGCACAAACCACACCTCTCAGGAACCTCTTCTACTGCTCGACCACCGTCACAGTTAAAGAAATTTTGCCAAATCTCCAGTCTGAAATCCCCACTAACACAGTCACCAGGGAGCAGAGCCCAGCACCTCCCTCTGTTTCTCCTCCTCATGGAGTTGTGGAGAACAATGAGGTCACGCCTTGGCCTCCTTCTCTCCAAAACAGACAACCTAAGTGTCCTCAGCTACTTGAGCTACTTGACATGCCTTCCTTTTACCAGTGTTGTTGCCTTCCTCTTGATGCTTTCAAGAACTTTTATATCCTTTTATACTGTGAAGAACAGAACTGTACACAATATGCAAGGTGAGACTACACCGACACTGAATATAATAGGAGAATTATCTCTGGCTGGCTAAAATGCATTTATTGCACTCCAAAATGCAGTTTGTCCTTTTGGCTGCCAAGGCATACTGTTGGCACGATGCACATTGAGCCTGCTATCGACCAGCGCCTCTAGGTCTCTTTCTGCAGGGTGTTCTCCAGACATTCATCTCCCAGTCCATTATTGTGTCTGGCATTATTCTGTCTCAGACACAGAGCCTGGCACTTGCTTTTCTTGAACTTCATGACATTGATGATTAACTTATGTAAATCCCTCTGCAAGGCTACTTGTCCCTCCGGAGGGCCAAGAGATCCTCCCACTTTAGACTCATTAGCACACTCGCTGATGATGCATTGCACTCTTGCATTCAGATCATTGATAAAAATTGAGGTCTGGAGAGCCCTGCTAGTGACTATCACCAAACAGATATAGCCCCATTCAGTACAAAACTGTGAGCTCTAGCATTGTGCCAATTCATCACCTAGTGTGTTGTTAACCTGTTTATCTCACAGTTGGACAATTATTCTAGAAGGAAGCCATAAGGAACAGTATCAACAGCCTTACTAAAATCCAGAAAGATGATGTTCACTGCCTTCCCTTCATCCACCAAGCAGAATACTTTATCACAGAAGGAGATGAAGCTACTAAGGTAATAGTTTCACTTATGAATCCATGTGGACTATGCCTGACAATAGCTTTGTCCTTAAGCTGCCTTTCACATCTCCCAGGCTGATCTCCATAGCTTTTCCAGGAATCAAATAATGTGTCCATAGTTTCCTGGGTTTCACACACACTTTTTGTAGATGAGTGTAACATTGGCTGTCTTCCTGTCAGCAGGAAAATGTCTCCTTTTCTCCTCTACACTTCTGATTTGTCCAGTGCACATATTCATTATCTGCTGCTTGATCTAGTGGCTGGCAAAACCCTGCCTAGAGCAGGGGGGTAGAAATGGATGGTCAATGACATCCCTCCCAACCCATAGCCATTTTATCGTTCTATGATTCTTTTTTTTTGCCAATTAGCTTGCTGTAAACCTGTGGGACGAGGGCTTGCCATTTAAGGCCTGTATAATCTCTAATTCTATGAGACTGTAATTGTGACTTGGTTCCTGATGTTATTGCCTAATAAGCATATGGTTATTCCAAACAAAACTCTTTAGGAACCACAAATTAAAAAAGAGAATAAAAGAAAATAAATCTTATTTTATGAAATCTATGAAAGAACTATTTATGAAAAACCAAGTCTATGTGACACCAGTAGAAAATTGAAGACCAGAAAAGTGGAAAACTGATAGCTACCAATGCAAGTTACCCTCAGCAATTAATTCACACAGAATGCATTCATTTAAGTTCAACTTTTTGTGAATATCAGATTTTGTCATTATCTACTATAACTAATATTTTTTTCCTGAATGTTAATAAAACTCAAACCAAAGATGGTCTCCAGGGAAAGCACTGGTCTCTTTTTCTTGAAAAGACGCTCTTTTATGGGGAAGATGTTTGTGCAGGAAAATTGCCTCACATGAATGAAAAATAGATACAATAGATACAACAGTTTTCATTTGAGAAACAGTGAATGTTCATTTTCCTTCTTGATTTATGTATAATTGAATCAATGAATTTCCAGTAGTTAAATGTGAAAAGAATAAAATGAACCTTTAAAATCTAGCAAGTCTTATTATGTGCTGTATAATCTTAATGTAATCCAATAGTCAATAGTTTTGCCAGTTACTGTCAAAAGCTTCTGGAAAAAAATAAGCAAACTGAAAACCAGCATTCTAAGATTGTTTAGCCTAGTAACCTACCCTGTGTTCTCCAGTTTCGATCTGCTTATTCCCCAGGGAGCAACAAATAGAATAGGAACAACTGTAAGAAAAAAAGTTATTACAGCCAAGCTTGCAGAATGATTCATACAAAATAAAGACACTACTATGGACCTGGTGCAATATGATTTTCAGCATTCTACTTAGATGCTGTACAAAAATCGACCTCTTCCTGTTTTTCTCCATTTGCACCTCAAAGAAAATAAGAACTTCATTGTATAATCGAATATCACATTTTCAGTGTGCAAATCATAGGCACATACATGAATACATAAACACTACTGATCAGCCTAAATTTTCTAAGTCTCTGATGTAGATAAACTAGAAAAAATATGAATACTCCAGCAGAGGCCTCCAAGATTACTGGGACCTGTAGTGCATCATGTAGAAGAGACTGAGAGAATTAAATGTCTTCAGCCTTAAGAAGAAAAGTTTAAGAGGAAGCCTAACTGCTGTCTTCAATACTAACAATAGCAGAAGCACATGGAGCAGGAGGTGCACAGCAAAAGAGTGGTAGAAAGAGCAGCAGCAGGCAACGTTCATATTAGATATAAAGAAAATATTCTTCACAATTAGAGCAACCAAGCATTGAAATGTGCACACAAACGAGAAGTGGCATTTCCATTCCTCCAAATAATCAGAACTCTACTGGTTTGGAGCAAACTCATGTAACTTTGAAGCAGGTGCCGTTTTGAGGAAGGGGCTTAGGACATGGGAAAATTCAATCTTTCCAATGAAACACCAAAAGTGAAAATATTTCAGTCTTATGGTGGTCATTTTCAGTGAAGTTTTGGTGTGGGTTTTTTGTTTGTTTGTTTTATTGATTTTGGGTTTGTTTGTTTGCTTGTTTTTTAAGAAGCAGAGGTTCTTTCTGGAAAACCTTTAATAAAACCTTAGTTTTATTAAAACTAAACAGATTTCCACACAAAAATATATTTGTCTGGACAATGCTCACTATGTCTAGCAATGTGATGAAACCAGATGATCTCTACAGTTCTGTTCCTTCTTGTCTTCTTCCTTTAGTTCTGGGAAGAAGGTAGATATTACCCACAGAAATTTAACTTCGTTAGATAAAATGAGTCCCTCTCTCTACCAGATAGACTAACCATAAGATATAGTCTAGTTCAGCATTAGAGATCAATACATACTTTAAAGACTAGTATATTTGTTTAGCAAAAGGAACTGATGTGTGTTAGTTCAGTAAAATTTCCTAGTTTATGCAGAAACCCTGTTTTGAATCTTGATTAAGGAATTGATATTTTTCTACAGGAATGGTTCCCATTTCATAAATATTTGTACATTTATTTAACAAATATATTCATAAACACAGAAAACGTGGCCTTAACTGAAATTCACTTAATTCTAGAAATTATTCCAGAAAGATATTTCATTCTTAGATTCTACCCAATTCCTATTTAAAATATCAAGAGATAGCACAGGTACCAAAAAGAAGTAAAAGGAACTTGTCTCAATTCCCTGTGATTATTACAATCTTGTACAATTTTAGACACCTGAAACTGAATGATGTGAATCACTGTCAAATTGACAAGGAATTTGTAACAACAGTCTTTATAACAGTAAACAAAAATTTATTTTTAGCATTTTTAAATGTTTTTTTTTCCATTCCAACTGCAATTATTATAATTTCAATCTTAGTTGACATTTCATTTGTTTTTCTTTGTTTGAATCTAAACAGTTCTTTAAGATTTACCTCTTTATCTTGGGTAAAGATTTTAGTACGCAATAAAGCAGAGAAAATATGGAATAATTTACTTATAATTACATAGTCATCCACTACAGATTAATCCTTTAAAAATAATTTTCCTTAGTACGTTTTTTTTTCTTTTTCTTGTTTTAAATATATATATATATATATAAGCATATATATATACATTCATATGTGCATATACAGATATATATGTATCCTACAGTACTGGATATGCAATTTTACATTTGAGAAAGTAAATTAAATGGTGTGAGTGAGCTAGTAAATCTGTACACAGATAAGAGCTTTATGATCGACAGATATTCTATTCCATCCACCCTATCATCCTCCTCAGTTCAGTCCATCATCTATGAATCAGTCCTGCACTAAACCTGCCTAAACATTGTCTAAAATCACATTTTTAAATCTTCATAAAAAAACTTTCTAAGAATTGCAAGTTATATGGGTAGATTTTAGATCATTATTGGGAATTAGGAAACCTTGACTTTTCCTTTTGTTCAACCTGTATACAGAATTATGATAAGTGAGCAACAAACACGATTGTCCGATTATGCGCTACTCACATGAACAAAGGAAAAGAGAAAATAATTTACACAACATTGTTAAAATGCTTGTAACTGCCTTTGTGTTGTTGTCTTTCTTCCATGAAAAATTTCTGAAATGCAGGATCTGAATCATGTAGTGTTTTGAACTGTCCTCTAATTTAAAGCACACTTTAGAGCTTCAGCAAATTTTGCTGAGCTCACAAGGTGAATACATAAAAGCAAAGCTCTTAATGTGTAGATATCTTGACCACATAAATGCTCTAATTCAAATGAAGAAATTGAAGGTGCTGATAATGCTTTAATATTCTACGCTGGTAGAGAATATTACCAAATGTAGCAAATTTTCTTCTCATTCTATTAGGCTATTGTTTTCAGGTAAACCAAGATATTACCTCAAATCAAACAGAGCTGCAACTAACGTCACTTCTAGTATACTTCTATTGAGAAATGCCGGTTTCAGAACAAAAATGAAACTTTTTTTTCCTCTTTTCATTACAAAATATTCACTAATCACTTGAAAAAATACCACAGAATCAAGAACTTTGAAATTGTTAGGTACTCACCCCATCCTATCACTATATATGTCTGCAGCAGTCTTCTTTCTGAGAACACAGCAGTAATCAATAACGTATGCAGATAAATTCCTTCTACTAATAGCCAAAAATAATTTGCTCCAACAAAATAGTGCATGAAAAACTGAGCAGTTCTGCAAATGATTAAAATCTGTAGGAATGAAAGACCAGGAACCACTGTAATACATAGAAGTTCTGACAAATCCTAACTTTCCCTGGTTACTTCAGCAATCATTTTAAAACCAGTATGTGGCTGTGATACACATGTATTTCAGTCATATGTACTTCAAGATTCTGAGCTGCTGTTATTTTGGGAGATCTGGACTTTCTGGGAATAGAGGTAAACGTGTGATGCAGTTAGATTGGATTTGTCTCTGCCTTTGGAAAAAAAGGGCAGAACCAAAGTTCAAAAAGCATTTGGTGAAATGTTGGAATATGAATTGATATTAGGATAGTGTGGAATCAGGAGCTGGACTTGATGATCTGCCATTGCAGAGGAGCTGAAACTAGATGATCTTTAAGAGTTCCTCCAACCCAAGCCACTCTATAGTTCTATGATTCTATGATCCTTGTGGATCCCTGCCAATACAGGATGCACTATGATTCTGAAAACAACTTAGAGTTCATGCCAAGAGTTTATACTTGGGAACAAGGGGAAGCACTGAGGAGTATTACTTTTATTGTTTACTAGAAGTGCTCCTGGTATACAAGCAGATCAGCAGAATTATTCTGTCTTTCTGAGGCCCCACCTGGAGCACATGCCCAGTTCTGGGGCCCCTAGTAGAAGGATGCAGATCTGTTGGAGTTGGTCCAGAGAATGGCCATGGAAATGGCCATGGAATGGCCATGGAGAGGGGCTGGAGCACCCCTCCTATGGAGAAAGGCTGAGGGAGTTCATCTTGTTCAGCCTGGAGAAGGGAAGGCTTCAAAGAGATCTCACTGAGGCTCTCCAGTGTTTAAAGGGAGATTATAAACAGGAGAGAGACCAATTTTTTTCATGATCTAATAGCAACAGAGCAAGGGCAATGGTTTTAAACTTTAAATGGGGAGATTTAGGTTAGCTACTAAGAGGAAATTCTTCACCCAGAAGTGATGAGGTCCTGGCACTGCTACCCTGAGAGCTGTGGGTTCCCCATCCTTGCAGATGCCCAAAGGCCATGGATGGGCCTGAGCTGGGCGGAGAGCCAATCCATGGCAGGGATGGGGCTGGGGAGGCTGTGAAGTCCCTTCCAATTCAACCATATGGGATTCTGTGAAAGTAACTCTGCAATGGCTGTTGTGGTCAGTAGTGACTCTGAAAATCTGCACATTTTCCTAGTGCTGAAAAACCTTTGAACTATTTTCCCCTTCATGTACTTTGTTTGGAAGCACAGTGTTACATGCAGTATTTGTGTACGTTGCATTTTGCTATGCATACCTAGAATGAATAAATGCAAGAGTTCTTATGTAAGTGCTGAAAAAATGTATTGAATTCTTCCTAAGGCTACAAGCGTGAAAAAACTGTTTTGCTTAAGTAAAAGTGTGTAAACATATCTATAGATTTTTTTTTAGTATGTTTGTTGTTTTTTTAATGAGTGCATTATGATTTATAAACGTTTTTCCAGACTGCCTGAGATTTGAATCTCAACTAACAAACACCTTAAAACTTGGTGCTATGTGGCAAACTTCTATATTTGTAATTGTTATGGCCACTGGGAGTACACATTTACTATTAGCAACTAAGAAGTTACCTCAGGACTGAGGTATAATATCCATCCAGTTTCATCATTGGGTCTTTTGGAGTAAATCCTGTGGAGTACAGTGTCTTTAATAAGAATGGCTGTGGCGCGCAAGATGAAAGATGCAAATAAATTCATATGGATGTAGTTTCTTGTGCAGTGAAGTTTTCTGTGGGGAAGAAAATGTATAAATCCTCTGGAGTATATTTAATCCAAAGAAAGCAGCAATAAAAAAATACCATTATAGTCATATTGTTGCCATTGATTGATTTTATACAGGAATTTCCTCCATAACTTACATCAGAAATAAGAAATCCAACTATGCAAAAACAACAATATGCATATTGTGTTTTATATTTAAAAATGCATGCAATTTCATACTAACCTGAGTAAAGAAAGTATAAGGAGAGCTAAGACAAGTGAGATGAGAGAAAGATAATATCCTACGGTGTACAGCAACTGTAGTGTGGTAAGTAATTTATGTTCTTTTTCCTAGGAAAAGAAAAAAAGAAAGAGGAGCTTTGCATATGTATATGCAGGCAGGTAAGTAGGGTATGAATATAAATCAAAAGCTTTTGAGTCCGATTTATTTGTGTTGCAGCATAGCCAGGGCAAATTTCTGATATCTGTTCCCTGCATTTTCTCATGAAAACCTTGTGGGAGACACCCTGGAGAACAGACTAAGTTTCTTCTCAGATTTGAAGGCAGTCAAGGACCCATTTCCAGATTTTTCTTGCACAAATCCAATTTTGAGTCTTAATGACTATTAATCATTAAAACAATCACATAAATGAAACAGATCCTAACGTTTAATAAGTGCAGAGTGAGCTCCACCCCTGCACTGAAATGCAATAGCTGTGTTATCTGGGGAGCCAAGACGCACACTGCTCTTCCGAGCACAATTTTCAGAGGCAATTGTATCTACAGAGTGATTGAAATAGACTGCCTGCTTCTTAATACTACACAGATGTTAAGGAGTTTTATTTGGGCTGGGGTTTGTCTGGCTATCTTTGCTGTTAACTGTGTAACCTTTGCTGTTAACTGTGTGATTTAATCATACAGCCACAGATTATCACACTCTCCTCCTGCCAGCTAATTGTCTCTAAATCAGCCTATGCTAATAAGCACTGTCTGGATAGCAGAGTGAGCTGTGCCTGCTTGGAGAGGATGCCCAGAGGCACAGCAGGAGATTCCCAAGGGATGTTCATTAGTCACTCAGCTCCATGAAAACATTCCAACAAGATGAATTGTATTGGCTGTGATATTTTTTCAAATCTGAAGCAAATGAAATGAAGTTGATTCATCAGATGCGGTTGGATGCAAGTTCTGGGTTATTCCTAACAGCTTGTGGCTTTTGACTAAATATAATTACACGGTATAAACACACATTTAGGCTTGTTTGGAAAGCTGGCTAAAACTTTCAGAGAAACCTCTTGTTCTCTTGCTGCCACACCTGATGAATTAAAGTGGTAGTCCTCCACCCACAACTTTACAATCCAGGATAGTCAACGGGCTGCAGAAAAACAAAGTACTCCAAGTTTATCACACTTGAATAAACTGTGAGGTTGGAAAACCATATATTCACTGTATAAAGAATTTATTAAGGTCTTGGTAATCCTGAAATAATCTTGCTTAATAAATAATACACGATCAATAAATTACTAATAAAAATAAAATCAATAAAGTAATAAACATTAGTATCATTTACCAAAGTGACAAAAGCTAAATTAATAAAGTGTTCAGTAGTAATACTGCTCTCCAAACAGACTTCATTTTGAGATCAGCAAGCCAAACAGTGCGGCAAAAGAAGTTACAAGAAGCTGAAACCAGTTCAGTCACATGCTTTACTGTTATCTGAAACTGTTGCATTCATTGCCAGGCATTGCGTAGCTGGGCAATGTGGCAAGGCATCAGGATCCCTGGTTTCCAGCTTGAACTGCTATGCTAAAAGGCTCAGGAGGTCACAGGGGTTGGGAGTCTGGCTTTGGCCGACTTCCAGTCCTCTGAGCTATTTGCTAGACAAGTCGCAGGCTTTTCATTTCAATTTTATTAGGAGGGATTCAGTACATGTGAATGCTGGACTCTAAACAGAAAACAATTTATCTAATCTAAAGCTAGAATCTCCTTCCTTAATCTTTCTTCCTCTGCTTCTTCTTAGCAGTTTTCAATTTGGTAATCCAAATGAAATCTGAACATCTTTTGCAGGTATTCAACCGAAATATTTTATCAGTTATTCAAGAAGGGATTACGAAGATTAAAGGATTAAACCATGGTATAAAACATCATGCTTACATTTTTTCGGAGATTATTTTTCTCAGAACATTCTGAACTGTCACGCCAAATGTCTGTGGAGTTTTCCTTCGTTTGCCAAGTTCCTTCATCTAAGCAGACTCTGTATACATTTCCTGCACTTCCTGAAAGTAAATAGAGTTTAGTCTTACAAGTAAAAATAAAGATTTCATTTTTCATGAACATTCTAAGGATTTCTCTTTACACTATAGCAATAAACCTTTGCTCAAATGCAGTCAAAACAAACAACAACAACAAAAAACAATAAACAAAAACAAAAAAAACCAACAACAATCAAAACAAAACAAAAAAAACCCAAAACACATCTTTTATTTTGTCTGACAATATATTTTTCACATTTGTGTAGAAGAAAGTAGGGAAGATAGTCAGTGTCACCTCAGTCTTCAAAAAGGGCAAGAAGAAGGATCTGGGAAATTACATGCCAGTTAGCTTCAATTCTGTCCCTGGAGAGGTGATGGAGCTATTTGTTCTTGGTGCCATCTCCAAGAAATTAGAAGAGAAGAAAGTTATCAGGAGTAGTTAATGTGGATTCACCAAGGGGTAATCATGCTTGACCAATGGGGAGGGAGCAGTGCATTTTGTGTATCTTGACTTGAGCGAGGTGTTTGACACCATCTCCCGCAACATCCTTGTTGTGAAACAAGGTGTAGGATAGGTGAGTGGATGGTGAGGTGTTCTGAGATCTGGCTGAATGGCAGAGCTCAGAGAGTAATGATCAGTGACTCAGAGTCTAGTTGGAGGCCTTTATCTAGTATTCCCTAGGGGACAGTGCTGGGTCAAGTCTTCCCTCAATATCTTCATCAACGACCCAGGAGAAAGGACGGTGTCCACCGTCAGCATGTTCTGATGGGAGTAGCTGGGAGGAGTGGCTGATACACTGGAAGGCTGTCCTGCCATTCAGTGGGACCTGGACAGACTAGAGTGTTGGGCAGAGAGGAACCTTATGAGGTTCAAAAAGTGAAGAGGGCACATGAAGTGTCCTACACCTGAGGAGGAATAACCACATGCATCAGTACAGGACAGGTGCTGACCTGCTGGAAAGGTGCTCTGCAGAGAAGGACCTAGAGATTCTGGTGACCATCAGAGTGACCATGAGCCAACAGTGTGCCCTTGAGGCCAAGAAGGCCAGTGATGTATAGTTCATTACAAAGAGTGTGGCCAGTAGGGTGAGGGAGGTTCTCCCCTCTGCTTTGCTCTGGTGAGATCACATCTGGAGTGTCATGTCCAGTTCTGGGTTCCTCAGCTCAAGGTTAGCAGGGAAAGATGGCCAGGGCCTGGAGCATCTCCCTTATGAGGAAAGGCTGAGAGACCTGGGGCTGTTCAGTCTGGAGAAGAGACAGCTAAGAGGGGTTATCATAACAGTTGCCATACAGCAGCAACCTCCAGAATATCTAATTTTACTTTGAATGACTGAAACTGAGAGAACTGTTTTTGGAGCACAGTTTGCTGTGAAGGCGCAGGAGCTTTGTGTGATGATTGCCTGTTCATTTTCAGTGCACATTTTATTGTCCAACATGTAGTGGAATTCTAACAGATTCCCCAAGCAGGAAATGACCTCTATGTTTACGAGTACTCTGGCATACTGTACAGAGATGGAGACTCTTTAAGGACATGATTTATGTAGTATGACAAATATCTCTTTAAAAAGTAAAAGCATATCAGAGAAGAAAAAGTTCCTGTCTAGGACAAAAAGCTAAGGGATCCCAGAAGTTCATGGCAGATCAGGTCAGGAGGGATCTTAGGGTTTATGTTATTTAGAGAATCACCTTCTTAAGCTTTCATTCAGAAATTGCCATGTTGCAGTGTGGTCCCACTTCATTGCTAGGCTAGCTCTAGAGGCAGTAAACTGACCAATGCCAGATACAAAGTGGGAGAGAGGAAATAATGCTTTGTGAGCTCTTCCGTATTAGCATTAGGGAGAATTTTGGCAACGCTTTGTATATTCTAATCTTCAGAAAGGCCATGCAGGAGCCTGACTGTGAGGATGGGCCTTGGGATTCTAGAGCCAGGAAAAGGGGCTAAAATTTATGTGGACGTTAACTGGAGCAGATACTTAATCATTGAATAAAAATAAGGAGTTCCTATGAAATGTGGTCCAAAATCTTAGTTCTATAGTACTCTAGTTTTCTAGTGAAATGATACCAAATCATAAAAAAATCTATCTCAAGCCCACAAGCATTTTTGGTTCAAGTCCAAGTTGTGTTCCAGGATAACCACGGCTGTACCTTGAAAACGTGAAGAGGAGAAGAGAGGACCACAGGTAAGCCCAGATCCACAGAACTACCAGGACAGACAGCAGGGCTGTCTCAGTGACACTCCTCCTAAGACACTGGGGCATTCCAACCTAAGTCTAATCAGTATTAGTATTTCCCATTGCAATTACAGTGGAAAGCTTCATGATATGATGCAATGTCTTACAGGTTGTTTTTGTAGAAATTCAGACAGAAAAAGACAAAAAAGGAAAAAAAAAAAAAAAAGGAGTCTCAATTACAGGGAGGGAAGTAAGATGCTGCCATGTTTATTTCGAACAGCTGAATTTGTTACAAGTGGTTGGAAGAAGCAGGTATTTGAGAGAATAGATAAAGGTTGGTTTCTCTGCTTTGGAGCTCAACAGCCCCAGAAAAGACAGATGATGACATTTTTGATTAAATCTTTTGTGGGGTGGACTGGAGAAAGCTAAGATAAGCAGCCCATGGTAGATTCCCAACCAAAAAACTCAAGCACAATTGGTTCTTCTAAGAGGTATTACAAATATGACTACAAAAACTATACGTAGCTAAGAAAAACTAAGCAGGATTCAGAATCACTAGACTATGCTGGTAAGAATGCTTTTGGAATTCTTTTGTAGAAAAGGAAGGCTTTCAGATGGCTTTGCTCCTGCAGATGTTACTATTTTTCCCTTCCAGGAGGGCCTTCCTGCTCCACTCTGTCCAGCACAGCACAGCTTGGAAAACCCTTTTGTTCAATGCACCACTTGCTGTTGGTGCAGCACCTTGCACTGGAGGGCAGACTGCTCAGACCCATTAGACTGTCTCTTCCATTCCTGTGCTTAATCTCTTGGGTCTGTAGGCATCCCAGAAGCTGAACCCCAAATCTGTTACTGCCAATCAAGGCCTGACTGTACAGTTATACATTCTTCTTGCTTTTGCTGGAAATTTTGCTGGAAATTTTGCTTTGACAGCGCAGAGATGAAGCACAAAACTCCATCAGTGGTAAATAAGGGTAAAAAAATGTAAATAACTAAATATTGCTTGTAATTCTGTGTGTCAAGTTAGAAAAGAGTTGAAATGAAGACACGGGTCACAAAATAGACCAGAAATATTTGTCATGTGTCTGGATTGCCAGTGTAAACTCTAAGAAAAATTACAACTTTTACATTACCATTTTCCAACCATGGCAAATACAAAGGACAAGGAACAGATACTTTTCCTGGGGTTGAGTATGGCCAGCAAACAAACTGATCAAAAGTCCCATTACAATGTATCCCTGGGGAGAGAAGTGAATAGATGTTTTACAAAAAATGTTTCAAACAATGGATGATCATGAAAAACATCGTGTACCATTTTAAGTAACCTGCAAGCATGTGGATTCATTCAGTGTGGAGTAAATATCAATCCTATCATATGGAAACAACATACGATCACTTGTGCTCTGGCATGAGAAGAGTATTTAGAAAATGTAACAGACTTCATGCATTCATTGCACCATGTTTGTTGAACAGGGCAGAAATAGCTACTGTTCTTTTTGCCTTGAGTACACATAAGCAACATGTTTCACACGCTTTACCATGAGCTAGTAGTGTTGTAGAAAATCATCCCAAGACCTCTGTTTTCTAAATGCAACAGCTTCCAGCCGTGCTCTCAGTTGCTGTACATCAAAGACTGCTGACAAATAGAAAATATTCCACTTTTCATGACCCCTGTGACACCAGTTCTCAGCTCAGATAATCATCATCTTCTCTGGTAGTGACTTCTATTGCTCTCTCAGTAATAATGGATTGGGAGCTGGCAGCCTATCAGATCAACTCCATCAGTTTTAATCTTCACAGATACCACATCACTCACAGGACATAAAGAGCAGACAAAACACTTCAAACTGCACTTCAACACTGCTGGTTGTACTAGTTTCTGGGTTTTCTAGTTTTCAGTCTTTCTGACATTTTTTAGGAGAAGTTAAAGTTCTCATCTCTGAGCTTCACATCTTTCTGTCCATTGGAGGCAGAAGAATATACCCTGCTTTGTTTTCCATAATGATCAACAATTCTTTGATGATTTTGGTGGGAAGAAGAAACAAGGATAGTTGTGTACTTTCTCACTGGAATCTTTTCGGGGTGCTTTTGCTAAAACACATGGACAATTGTTAATGATTTTGCTATACTTTTGAGCTCCATCTGCCTTATGACCCACACAGTTGTTAACATTTATAGATGCATTCTTATTATTCCTTTCCCTCATATCTCATCAGAGGTACAGAATTCAGGTAGTTGTGACAAGTATGAATTATGTAGGCTGACAGGAGAAAAATAGTTTTTACATTATTCCTTGAAAACTGGACTTCTGAGTATGTATAATTCTTTTACAAACCACTGTCTTCTGACATCTTGCTATGTGTCACTGCTTTTTTGGCTTCCTGGGTCATTTGGATTGTTTGCAATTGCCACTTCCCACCACAACACACTCTGCTTTTGCATTTTGCTAAGAGCTGTATCTGACAAAAGCCACAATCAGGTCGAGAGCTTGTGGGTAAAAATCAAGGATCAGTCCGATAAAGGGCATCTAGTGGTTGGGGTCTGCTACAGGCCACCTGATAAGGAGGAGCCTGCTGACAAGGCCTTCTTGCTTCAGCTGCAGGAGGTGTGACACTCGTGGGCTCTTGTCCTATTGGGGGATTTCAATCACCCCAGATATCTGATGAGAGAGCGGCATAGTGGGTGGCAGACAATCCAAGAGATTCCTGGAGTCTGTTAAGGATAATCTCCTGGTCCAGGTAATAGATGGGCCAACCCGAGGTGAAGCCTTACTGGACCTGGTGCTCACTAATGCAAAGGAGAGCATTAGAGAGGTTAAGACTGGAGGCAGCCTGGGCTGTAGTGACCATGCCTCTATGGATTTTCTGATCTTGAAGAATGCGGGCCTGGCAAAAAGCAGAGTTAGTCTCCTGTGCTTCAGGAGAGCAAAATTCCAGCTGCTCAAGGAACTGCTGAGTGGGATCCCCTGGGAAACTGTCCTTAAGGGATGGGCACAGAGCAGAGATGGCAGCTCTTTAAGGGCACACTTCTGAGAGCACAACGGCTCTCCATCCTCCAGCAGAAGTTGAGCAGGGAAGGCGGGTGACTGTCATGGCTGTGCAAGGACCTGCAGCTTAACCTGAGAGAAAAGAGGGAAATGTACAGAAGGTGGAAGAAGGTGTATCCTTGAAGGAATACAGGGCTGTTCTCCATGTGTGTAGAGATAGGATTAGGAAAGCCAAGGAGCAGATGGAGCTGAACTTGGCAAGAGATGTGAAAGATAACAAGAAGGGGTTCTACAGGTACACAGGCAGGAGGAGACAGGCCAAGGAGAGCGTTCCTTCTCCCTCTGGTGAAAGGTAACAGGGAGCTGACTTTCTCAGACGTAGAAAAAGCTGAGGTCCTCAATGAGTGCTTTGCCTCAGTCTTCATGGGTGATCAGGCTTCCCATGTCTGCCAGGACCGTGAGTCTCTAGGTGAGAGTGTGGGGAGTAGTTTCTGTCCCACTGTAATGGTGGAGCAAGTCCTCCTCATGAAACTGAACACATTCAAGTTTATGGGGCCAGATGATATCCATCCTAGGGTTCTGAAAGAGGTAGAAGCCTGATGTGGTTGCCGAGCCGCTTTCCATCATATTTGAAAAATCATGGCTGTCTGGTAAAGTCCCCGGTGACTGGAAAAAGGAAATATTACTCCAATTTCTAAAAGAGGTAGAAAGGAAGACCTGGGGAACTACAGGCCGGTGAACCTCACCTCTGTGCCTGGGAAGATCATGGAGCAGATCCTGCTGGAAGCTATGTTAAGGCACATGAGACAAGTGATTCGAGACAGCCAGCATGGCTGTACCAAGGACAGATCGTGCCTGACCAATGTGGCGGCCTTCTATGATGCAGTGACAGCATTGGTGGATGGGGGAAGAGCAGTGGATGTCATTACCTGGATTTCTGCAAGGCCTTGGACATGGTCCCTCGCCACATCCTGCTCTCTAACTTGGAGAATTGCAGATTTGAAGGATGGGCTGTTGGATGGGTAAGGAATTGGCCAGCTGGTCGCAGCCAAAGGGCTGTGATCAATGGCTCTGTGTCAGGGTGCAGGCCGGGCACAAGCAGTGTCCCTCAGGGGTCGGTGTTGGGACAGTTGCTCTTCAACATCTTCATCAATGACAGACAATGGCATCCAGTGTACCTCAGCAAGTTTGTGATGACACCAAGCTGAGCAGTGCAGTTGATACACTGGAGGGAAGGGAAGCCATCCAGAGGGACCTGGACAGGCTGGAGAAGTGGGCCCATGGGAACCCAATGGGGTTCAGTAAGGCCAGGTGCAGGGTGCTGCCATTGGGTGGGGGCAATGCCAGGTATTGATACAGACTGGGGGAAGATGTGGTTGAGAGCAGCCCTGCGCAGAAGGACTTGGGGTCCTGGTGGGCGAGAAGCTGGCCATGAGGCAGCAGTGAGCGCCTGCAGCCCGGAAGGCCAGCTGTGTTGTGGGCTGCATTAAAAATACACAAGCAGTTCTGTGAAAAGAGATAAACCCCAGTTGCTTTGCCTCCTTTGTTTTGTGTTTTTGTCCACCATGGCTCAGTTTCTAAAAGAGGAATGGGAGTCATCTTTTTTTCCTTTAATGACACATTATCTTATGCTTAGTGAAATTTCCAGAAATAATTGCTTGTCTTCCTTCAGGCTGAAAAAGGGAGTGAACACAGGTCTCCTTCATCCAAAGGACCTCTCAGCTAGTAGTCTGTAGTCTGTGATGTATCACAGCAGTAGCTCAGGACCAGCTGTTCTATGGCTTGTTTCAATATAAAGTAGCTGAGGACAAAGGCAGCCATTTACTTCATGACTGCGTATTTGTAGGTCTAGTTACAAAACTGGCTGTTTACATTTAAAACTTAAGAGTCACACACTTCTGTGAATCAAATAACTTTATATGAATATTTGCATTTTTAGCTATGCTGCTTAACATATCTTTATTTGCTGTTTGTACACTTACCAGTACCTACAGTTGTTTCCTGTAGCATTTTCAGGCATTCCTGTTTGTATTTGTTCCATCCAGTAGTTGTTTTTTCCAGCACGGATCCTTTGGCCTGTGAGTAAAAAAAGTCTTACATGGAGAAAACCAGCTAGTCTAGTGGTCTTTTAGAGGACAAGTTTCCATCAACTAACAAATTTAAGAGGTGAGGAGAGGAGCAAGGAAGCAAGGAAGCAAGGAGCAGAATGGAGGCAAGTTAGGTAGGCAGGGAGAAAAAGACCTCTCTTCCCTGGGAGGAAGCTTCTACAGTCATTTCATTCCAAGGTCAGCTAATTGTTCTCATGTATTTACATTTCTCCTTCTGCTGGATTAACTTTGGAATTTGATTGATAACAACTTTGTGGGCTGTTTATTTTTATAGTATTTTTGAAGATAATCAAGCTTACTTGATTGAATACTTCAGTAATAATTTGAATAGAAGTGAAATGAATAAACAGTAATATTTGGCTATTGTTGTCTCTTCCCCACTTCATTCTGCACTCCATTTCAGCAACTGAAAGGCCACTTCTTCCTCTAATACAGCAAACATGCCATAAATGCATTTCTATTCCTCTGCTTTCCGGAGAACTTACAATCATTCATTCTACTTATTCTTGCTTGTCTCCACTAACACTGTGTTGTTTTTGCCTGGTCAGGGGACAGTTTTACAAAATGAAATGGAGTATGAATGCTTATTTTTATCCATAAAAGAGTTTTCTCCATTTAAAACATCTCATAGAAATGAATATTTCTTTTTTTCATATTAGATATTTTCAAACCTGGAAGCTTGGATCTTCCTGTTACAGTTATCATTAGGGAGAGATCAAAAAGGCCTTTAAATTCTGAAAAACTAGATTTCTGAAGAATACAATCTAGAATAACTGCTTTGATCTTATCTGCTCAAAGAGAATACAACTAAAAGCACTACAAAAAACAATCTCTCTTTTATTAATGCAGTGCAGTACAGGCTTGACTTCAGATTTATGCGGTTTGATGACAGCAGATTCTTTGGAGTGCCTGAAAAATCAATTCTCCTCTCAGCTGCTCCCTGCAGAGTTGCATTTATAAGATATGCACAGCACTGCAACTGCAGAAATACATAGATCGGAAAAGATCTTCAAGATCAAGCTTTTCAAATGGCTATTCACCCTTTCTGTGAAGAAACTGGTTGGCAATCCTGCACATAGCTGATCATAGCTGAGAACATATAGCTGAAACTAGATGATCATTATGGTCCTTTTCAACCCAGGCCATTCTGTGATTCAATGATTCTATGACATTGGCTTTCTTGGCCATCTGGGCACACTACTGGCTCACATTCAGCTGGCTGTTGATCAATAACCCTGGAACCTGAGATGCACCAGAAAACTGATACGGAGAAAAAAAGAGACCTAGCTGTTATCTTCAAAGGGTGAAATTTGAGATGTAGATATATAGTTGCTAGTAAAGAGAAGAAAAAAAAAAAAAAGCTAAGATAAAATCTGCTATAAATTAAAAGCTACATTAAAAAAAAAGTAGTAATTCCCAGTGACAAACAGATGCTAATAATGATTTCACATGAAGTGACTGCTGCACTGAGGATGAGGTGGGCATCTGTGGCAAAAATCTTGTTAATGTAAGAATTGTTGTTATCCTGAGAGGACTTGTAATTTTAACTTTTTCTCTTTAAATATCTGTCTTTCTGATTCATCTTATTCATACAACGCTCTCCTACTGCAGAGGCCTTCAGAGAGCTACTTGATAAATGCTGTTTGGGAAAGGAATGGGTAAAACAGAAGAGCTAAATGCAAAATTGCTTTGCATCCTATCAGATTTGGGCTGTTTAAGTAATGCCCAACTAGTACAATAGCAGTAGAGAAAGAATATTGCTTGCAGCTCAGTATCAGCATGATACTTTGATCATTATTTATCCAGTGTAAGAAACGTTAGTCAAAGCAATCTCTGTATAATATGCCATTTGGTCTTCTGAACACCGGGGCTTTCAGAAGCCAGAGGCAGGCAAGTAGTCCAAGAACAATGTCAGTGTGTGTCACCAAAACAGAACAATTCATTACTGGATGAAAATGTTACATACTCTAATGACAAAATTGGGAAGACAATCCAAACAAAAGTTAAAAAAAAAAATAATAATTCTTGCACCAAATAATTTTCAGCTCCCCAGGGAAAATCCATTTTCTTTCAACTGGATTAGACCCTTTTCAGAAAGCACCTTTCACATGTGTACAGTGGTACTTGTCTGAGCCAGATAATGTGCTAAGAGCTGAAATAAACCAGGGTGCCCTATGGTGTGAACTTCACCTGTAAGCTATTTTTTGAACACAAGTTTACCAAAAAGCAAAAAAAAAGTAGTATTTATGCATGTTCAAAACAGAACAACAGTGAATGTTATCTAGTTGTTTTTGAAACCACCCATTCTTGCATGGTTTGGCTGTGCAAGATGTTGTTTGCTCACTGCTCTGCTTTGAGACTCTCAACTAATTTCCAGACGCCCTACTTTAAATTCCAGGCAGCAGAAAGTCTATAATTTTTCTTCATCTGATGGGCTTGCAAGATAAGGAGAGAATATTTACAGCAGCCATGAGAAAAGAATGCATGTTTCCAAAATACAAATCTTCTTGACATTTCCCTCATCTGGGCCTCAAAATGCTGAGAGCCAGGGGAGATTCTTCAGATACTCCTTGGTCAGTGAACCTCATTTAAAGAAGCAAAAGATATGATGACGCACTTGTAGAAAGGACTGCTTGATTTAAGGATAGCACTTCTGTTTCTAATAAACAAATGCATTAAACAGCTAAAGAAACACAGAGAAAGCCTCATGTTGACTACCTGGCTGCTTGTTTGGTTCATTTTCTGGAGAAATTGCTGAGAGTCATCCATGAAGAATTTTAGTTAACAAGAATGAGGAGCACTCCAGGTACAAATGACAATTTCACTTCTTTCTGGAATAGTCAGTCTCTGCAGAGTAGAGCCTGTGAACACTTCAGTTCATTTCACTTCAGTTCATTGACACTGAAATGTTACCAAACCTTCCTGGAGAGGTCTTTCCATTCCAAACATTTGTTTGGTTCGCTCAGGTGCACAAAGCTGTACAAAGATGACCCCACTGTTTAAAAATACGTTGGATGCAGTAGATGGCACTGCTAAAAGTTCCCCTCTAAGAAGTAGGTTATTATAATAGACCTCCAAGTTTGCAAACAGAATAATTGTAATCTACCTATTATTTTCATAAATGACTACTGTATAATAAAGTTTGCATCTCTTTAATTTCTTTAAACTGTAATGACACAGAAGTCACAGGGAGATTTTCAGTTAACACTGACTGGCGCTTTGTTTGAGGCATCCTTTGGATTCAAGGACTCTCAGAAAACGGAGATCTGCATCAGTGCATCAGTTCTCTATCCATTTACATGAGAGAAGCTCAAGATTCAGAATATGTGTCTCTTGGTAATTTTTTTTTTTTAAGAAAAACAGAAAAAAAAGCAAAATTTCAATATTTACAGCACATTCACACATAATTGTAGCACAAGCGGTTAGAAGTAACAATTTCAGTGTAAAGTAAACCTGTTCAGTTGTGCTCATTGCCTTGTATACTTCTTTCACAGATTATTTCCCTAAATTTGCATATGATTTTTATTTGGATGAATTGGAATTAACTTCAACACATTAATATATGTATCAGTTTAATTTACTGAAATAAAGGTATATATTCATAAATAAATAAATAAAATGGGAAGAAAAAAAAAAAAAGAAGAAAATTTCCCTGAGGAGATTAACACTGAGGTATTCTGTCCTTAAATTCTGAGAACTCTCACAAATTTCAAGACAGTACAGATGAGGAAGAAAGCTTTTAATTTTTCATACATTTAGAATAAGAAAGAAATGACTATTTTGCTAGAGCACTCCAAGAATTAGAAGTAACAATACTAAATAGTTTTGCTAGCCTGATGTTAGAAGTTGAGTTGCAGAACAAAACCAGTAACATCAGCTTTCACAAATATGAGAAGCAATGCCTTCACTTTGTATATTTCTAAAAGGCTAAATGATAGCACATTTATGTAAAATGTAAATTAAATAAAAAATTTAAAAAATGTAAATTGAACAACATTGGGATTAGAATATGACTGGAAACAACAGTAGAAAATAAAGAATTTTCACAATAGTATTGATATATTGGTAGAAAACTCAAAAAATAAAACTAGTTTAATAATCAATGTCATTATGAAAATACACTGCAAAAATAAATGCAAACATGGTTTATTCACTGTATGAACCAGCTTTTATAGAGTAAAATTGTAATATATCATCTACTCTGAGTGAGTTATAACATGTAATTCTATTGTTTCTCAGACAATGTTTCTTCTTATAACTAATTTTAACAAACATTAGTTGTCATGTCAAATGTTTTTGAAACAAACATGCAGGGAAGGTTAAAATGCTGTGTGATATATATTCACTTTTATATTGATAATTATTAATTATGGAATTGGCTTACCTGTTTCACTATAAATAATATCATGACTGAGCTGGCAGGTATGGGAGATATTCCGGACCAGATCCGCATGCTGAAGCAGAGACCAAAAAGTGTAATCATGCCCATTTTAATAAATTTGTTTCCAGTATGCTGCTGTATCACTGTACAATAGACCAGTTGTATCACTTGTTCCTGTAACAGATTTAAAGCGTCTTCTTTTATTCTTCTGTTTCAAGAATCTTCTTAGATATAAACCAGAAAGCCTACTAAAATGTCTAGACTTGATGGTCTCCAGCTATGTCTTGTTTTTTTATTTTTTTTTCTGATTAAAGTCACAGAGAATTTACTCTAAACTTCACATGAAGTCTGTTTACTGTAGCTTGTTTTTTAGCCAATAAGAAATCACAAAACTATTAAAACATTAAGAAGCTGATCCTATTCCCTTGAAACTTCATGGGAATTTTGCCAGTGACTTTGTGAGAATGTAATACAGTTCCTAAATATATACATATGTTTATGCACACCTCATGAAACTATAAAAGGGTGACCTAGAATGTAGAAAATCCGTAAAAGCTTGCTGAATCAAGTAGGTTGGCATGAAGAAGCTCGGTCTCAGTAACAGGCATTTTGATCCACCCTAATCAATACTTTGTCAAACATGCACAGTCAGTGCAGGATCAAGGCCAGTCAAAATGTATAAAAACTGACGTAGTCAGCAGTTAAAGTTTTACAATAATTCTTTTCATATTCAGTGTATATGATACACAAATGTAGGAAATTAAAAATATTTACAATACAAAGATTTTAGGGCCTAGCTTCTACTTTCCACAGCATGGAGACTCAGGTGGATGTGTCCTTCTGCACTTCCAAGAGAAATTAGACATGCAGCTATTTGTATAGAAGTTCTCCCTGAATTCATGGGTATCCCCTCCAGCTCAGCCAGATAAGGGACAGAGATGCACCACTGAGATTGTAGAACCAGTGGCAACTTGGTTTTCATCGCCATGCATAGGCTTAAAGCAAACTGCAGTGCACTGTTTCAATCTATTCAGTAGCATGTCTTCCTCTCTCCCTGCCCAAAATTTGGCCTAGATGAATGAAAAAATAGAAGGGCATGATGTATAACCGTATCTCATCTTTACTTGAGGCTTGGATGTGGTACAGAAATTTTCTGGGAACAAAATACAAAAGTGCTCTGGAGACAAGCGTTTCAGGGTTGAAATGGACCCACCCCACCCTCAAGAGGTCTGTCAGAAAGGACATGAACTGCCTTCATTGTCTTGTCTGGGGCCAGGGATTGTTCTCCTGAGCACACATCCTCCCCAAGCCACACCTACAGGCAATTCTGAGGACGAAGGAGAGGCATCTATAAACCCCTGTCACAATTGCTCAGCTGCGTATTATTACAAGGGATAAATACAAATTTTCTCATTGCTGTGTAAGATCAGCTCTGCGGTAGGCTACAGACAGCAAACCCAAACAGTGCTCTGGCGTTGGAGCTCTTTTGAGACCACCATAAGAAATGTCTCAGTGCTAAAGATATCCTGGGCTTGCCTGGGCTGCACGGAGTGATGAGGAATTGTCTTAGGCAGTATCTGTGTATGTCTCTGTGAAAGTAATTCTTCCTACTTATTTTCATGGAAACTGAAACAATGAGCACGGTAACTCTAAAAAAGCAAACTCTCAGCTACAAAACACTGTTTTTCAACAGTCTCTACCGTTGGCTGTGCATTTTCACCAACAGTGAACAAGAGCCTGCACATGTCACTGTCAGCCCTGCTGAGAAACACCACCCACTGTGCTCACATCCACTGTTTGGTCTCCATAAAAGTTAAGAAAGCACTGATGAATGTTAACGAGTGCAATTTTTTTTCCATGTGGAGGAATCCAGTTGCACAGCTTTGCTTTAAACATACTTTAATGTCAGGGTCCAATTTGTTGGAGTTCTCCTCTGCTGCCATCTGTCACAGGACAGCAAGTAATGAAATACTGGTGGGAAGGTTCAACTTCTACTGGCATCTCACCAACATCTGCCTCTGATGTTATCAATCTATATCATAAAACAGGAGGCGTTACTTTCAGAGCCCTTGTAAAGTAAATAATATAGTTAATGTATATAAGTAGCAAAACTTATTTAAACTTTTAATATTTTTACTAAAACATTAAAGAAAAGAGAGCAACAACACTGTAAAGCTAGTGGAGTATTTGACCCCATCACTGTGAAACTAATTCATGTCTGATTCAATGGCAGTGTTTGCAATTCTATGTGAGACCTCAAGGTGTTTGCCAGAGGTTTTTGATGAAATTTTACTCTTCCTGTACTTCATCATTGACAATAATTGTTCACAAATGTGTGCACTTTCAAGAAGTGATGACATGAATAAGACATGATTGTGATGTGAGGGTTATCTTTCTCTGGTAAGACAGATCTTATAACAGTCTGCTAAAGAGATATAATCAATTTTTGAGTTGAACCTCTGATTGCAGTTCTATGCGCTTCATTTGAAAATTTGTCATTAATGCATTTATGTCAACTGAAAATGGAATCACAAATACAAACTGATGATTTTTTTGTCAATCTTGAAACCTACTCTCAAATCCCCTTATCAAAACTGAAAACAAGGCTGCGTATTTTTTTGCCGATTGCAGGACTATGTTTAGTCAATGTATCAGAATGCATAAAGTTGTTTGCCGTAACTTGAGTTAGCATTGCACTGCATCCTCCCTGTGTCCTGGTTCCAGCTGACATAATAACACCAGTGTGTGGCTATTCCATGCAATAGCTGCGTGCCCAGGGCCACTCTGTGGGGCCAAGCTGCTGCCATGATGTGCAGGACTGTCTGACTACTTGGGAAGAATACAGGAATGTTGTCAGGGTGTGCAGGGATGCGACAAGGAAGGCTAAAGCCTGCCTGGAATTAAATCTGGCAAAGGGGATAAAGGATAATAAAAAAGGTTTTTTCAAGTACATTAACAGTAAAAGGAAGACTAGGGAGAATGTGGCTCCCCTGCTAAGTGACGGGGGTGTTCTGGTAACGGGGGATGCCTAGAAGGCGGAGATACTGAATGCCTTCTTTGCTTCTGTTTTCAGTGAAAAAGCTCCCCCTCAGGAATCTGAGACCCTGGAGGTTAGTGAGAGGATCTGGGGAATGGAAGACCTCCCTTCTGTCAGGGAAGAGGTGGTCCAGGAGCGCCTAGGCAACACCAATGTTCACAAATCCATGGGACCCGATGGGATTCATCCACGGGTGCTGAGGGAGCTGGCAGAGGTGATTGCTGAACTGCTTTCTGTCATCTTTGAGAGGTCTTGGAGGATGGGGGAGGTGCCTGAAGACTGGAAGATAGCCAACATCACCCCGGTCTTCAAAATAGGCAAGAAGGAAGACCCAGGCAATTATAGACCAGTCAGCCTCACCTCTGTCCCTGGAAAGGTGATGGAACAGCTTGTATTGGATGTCATCTCCAGACAACTGGAAGAAGAGAAGGTTATCAGGAGTAGTCAGCACGGGTTCACCAGGGGGAGGTCGTGCTTGACCAACCTGGTAGCCTTCTATGATGTTGTCTCTGGCTGGGTGGATAGGGGGAGAGCAGTGGTGTAGTCTACCTTGATTTCAGCAAGGCATTTGATACTGTCCCCCACGACATCCTTATAACAAAGCTGAGGAAGTGTGGGATGGATGAGTGGACAGTGAAGTGGGTTGAGAACTGGCTGACTGGCAGAGCACAGAGGGTTGTTGTTGGTGGTGCAGAGTCTGGTTGGAGGCCTGTAATTAGCGGTGTTCCTCAGGGGTCTGTGCTGGGCCCAGTCTTGTTCAACATCTTCATCAATGACCTTGATGAGGGGATAATGGCCACCCTCAGCAAGTTTGCTGATGATACGAAGTTGGGAGGATTGGCTGACAGCCTGAAGGCCGTGCTGCCATTCAGCGAGACCTGGACAGGCTGAGAGCTGGGCAGAAAAAAATGGGATGAGGTTTAACAAAAGCAAGTCTTGCATCTGGGGAGGAATAATTCCATGCACCAGTATAGGTTGGGGGATGACCTGCTGGAGGGGAGCTCTGCGGAAAGGGACCTGGGTGTCCTGGTGGATGACAGGTTGGCCATGAGCCAGCAGTTTGCCCTTGTGGCCAAAAAGGCCAATGGCTTACTGGGGTGCATTAAAAAGAGCGTGTCCAGCAGGTCGAGGGAGGTAATCCTCCCCCTCTACTCTGCCCTGGTAAGACCTCATCTGGAGTACTGCGTCCAGTTCTGGGCTCCCCAGTACAAAAAAGACAGGGATCTCTTGGAAAGAGTCCAGCGGAGGGCTATGAAGATGGTGAAGGGTCTGGAGCATCTCTCCTATGGGGAAAGGCTGAGTGAACTGGGTCTGTTCAGCCTTGAGAAAAGAAGACTGAGAGGGGACCTGATCCAGGTCTATAAATATCTGAGGTGTGGGGGACAGAATGGCGAGGCCAGACTGTTTTCAGTGGTGAGTGGAGACAGGATGAGGGAACTGCAGCATAGGAAGTTCTGCACAAACATGCGCAAGAACTTCTTTACAGTGAGGTGACGGAGCAGTGGAACAGGCTGCCCAGGGAGGTGGTGGAGTCTCCTTCTCTGGAGATGTTCCAGACCTGCCTGGATGCCTACCTGTGCGACCTGCTGTAGGGAACCTGCTTTGGCAGGGGGTTGGACTCGATGATCTCTGGAGTCCCTTCCAACCCCTACAATTCTGTGATTCTGTGTTTCTGTGACTGGGGCATCTGCAGGACAGGCTGTGCTGGGCTGTGTGAGGGTGCAGGCCACACGTCGGACATGCCCAGCCTAGACCTTAGATGAGGAGATCTGCAGGATCTTCTGCAATGCAACCTTGTGTCTCACAGGAGCTGATTTATAGCTGGCCCCAGCAGCTGAGGCTCTGTTTTCAGTTTTCAGCTTCCAGAAGTTGTTTGTAACTGCTCATCTTCTAAAGTCATCTGAAACTTATGTTGATGCTCTGTGGTCTCTCTTCAGTCTCTTTTTAGAATTAACACTCCCAACGGCTCAGTCAGTGAAGGAGACCAATGTTAAGGTATCTTTATATCTGATTGCTGCTGCTACACCAAGGACCAGCTGTGTCTGCTTCTGTTTTCCTCACACCATCATTCATGGTCTTGCTGCTTTTGTACTTCTTGATGCCTGTATCAGTATCAGTTTCTTTGAGGTGCGCTATCAAAAGTATTATCCAAAATGTGTTAAACAAGTGTCTTCCTTTCTGGAAGTGCTTATAATAGGATTTCTAGGTGATCTTCCTGTGCAAACAAGGGATATATAGTAAACAGCATTTTCTATCTTGATTATACACTTCCCTTTTCTAGATCAGATAATGATATTTCAGAAGAGTTTCGG